CTACCTATCTTATCTATCATCTACCTACCTACCTACCTACCTATCAAACAAACATCTATTTAAATCTATCAACTATCGTATCAACTATCTATATCATCCATCTATCTATCTATCTATCTATCTATCTATCTATCTATGGTATATTTTTATTTATCTCATGGTTGTGTATGTACTTGATTCCCGGTCTCTTATTCCTAGAAGTTGTAGGTGCTTCATCCCTGGAGGATTCTTTTTTACAAGGTTGGATAGCCACCTGTCTGAAACAGCACGGGGTCTCCTGCTTGAGCAGGGGGTTGGACTAGATGACCTCCAAGCTTCCTTCCAGCTCTATTCTGATGGAGAACTATTCTGACCACATTAGAACATATTACTTTAGGAGCCAATAGGCACCTTTTTTTTACATTTGGAAAAACATTTGGTGGGTACTTACAACTTACAAAACAGTTGCCTATAGTGGCCACTCACCCAACTTTAGCTGATCTTGAAAGCTAAGCAAGTTCCAACCTAGTTGTGCCTGGATATGGCACCTGGGGTTTAACTTAGATTGGGAAGTCAAAACATCTCAAAAAAGCAAAACAGAAGGCAACCATAATCCAAGAAATATCAGTTTCCTGGGAAGTGAGGAATTCCACCTAAGTACCGTTGCAGGAATTGGGTATATCTAGTCTAATGAAAAGGAGGACCGGGGAGACAGGATAGCAGTCTTCCCGTATCTCAGGGGCTGCCCCAAAGAAGAAGGAGTCAAGCTATTCCCCAAAGCACCTGAAGGCAGGACAAGAAGCCACGGGTGGAAACTGATCAAGGAGAGAAGCCACCTGGAATTAAGGAGGAATCTCCTGACAGTTAGAACAATTAACCAGTGGAACAACTGGCCTCCAGAAGTTGTGAGTTGCTCCGTCAATGGAGTTTTTAAAGAAGAGACTGGACAGCCATTTGTCTGGTAACGGATAGGGTCTTCTGCCTGAGCAGGGGGCTGAACTAGAAGACCTCCAAGGTCCCTTCTAGCCCCAAGATTCTATATTCAGCCAGGTTAAAGCATGCTGGCTGGGGAATTCTAGGAGTTAAGTCCGAGGGGGGGATCCATCCTGGAACTAAGGAGAAATTTCCTAGCAGCGAGAGCAATTCACCAGCGGGACTCCTTGCCACCAGAACTTGTGGCTTGCTCCAACAACCGGAGGTTTTGAAGGAGAGATTTGCACAGCCATTGGTCTGAAGGGGTGTGAGCTTATCCTGAACTAAGCAGGGGGGTTGGACTAGAAGTCCTCCAAGGCCCCTTCCCACTCTGTTAATCCTGGCCCCCGTCTGCTTTCCCCTTCCCTTGTCTCCACAGGAGGCTGACACGGATGACAACCAGGGCACCCTGGACTTCGAAGAATTCTGCGCTTTCTACAAGATGATGTCCACCCGGCGTGACCTGTACCTTCTCATGCTCGCGTACAGCAACCACAAGGACTTCCTAGATCCCGAGGACCTCAAACGTTTCCTGGACACCGAGCAAAAGGTAATCGGGCAGGGGTGAAGTTTGTCACTCCCTTGCACTCCGCCTCGTGCAACTCCCTTGGGTCACTCTGGATTCTAGAGGCCTGCATCCAGTTTTGGTCACCCCACTATGGAAAAAGAGGTTGAGACTCTAGTTGAAGACTTGAACTGGACTTCAACTCCCAGAATTCCTGAGCTAACATGACTGGAGATGTCAGTCAACTTAACAGATGTCTCACTTAGCAACAGCGGGCTCAGTTGCAGTTGTAATGTGAGCAGTTACCTGTACTTCGTTCTTCTTCTCGTTGCCTTTCTGTCAGAGTATATTCATGAACTGGGATAGAGCTTACAAACAAGGTCAGCCAGTTGGAGCTGAATTGAGGGCTGGAACTTAAAGAGAGAATCCGTTCTGTGCTCAGCTCTAAAGCGAAAGGGAAACTAACTTGCTTGCTGAAAACTAGAGCTCTACTCTTAACCTGTCACATGTCTGCTTCCGTTTGAGTTTGCTCCATGTCGGAGAAATCTACAACTGGTACTGTAAAATGTACTTTATATGTTTATAAAGAAGTTACATGAAACCTCAGCCATCTTGCCTTTACTTTTCTGGTGCTGAATTTATGCTGCAGTACTCTGAAGACTTTCTTCTTTTGCTTGGTTTATAACCTTGTCTGCTAAAAAGTTTGAAGACAGCATGTGCAATTTTGGGATTGGAAGCCAATCCTGATGATAAAAAAAATGTCGTCCTCGTTTAAATGCCGGAGTTCTGGAATAAAACCCAGATACGTTTTTCTGCCTTTCCACCCCACTGTTTTGAGTTAAATGATTCATCCTTTCTGCTTCGGTGGCTAGATTCCACCACTAGGCACTCCTGCCTG